CAGTCATGTAGGCAAACTTGACAAAGTCCAGGATGTTGAGGTCATAGATACGGGTGGCAACTTCCCCCTTGGCAGGGTACTCAGCATCGGTGCTGGGTATCAGGGATGAGTCCCACATGCTGGTCTTCCTCTTGGTATTGCCAAGGCTCAGTGTATTCTTCAGGTTCTTCATGAGGGAGCCCTTCTTCAGGCCATTCTTCCTCTCCATGTAGACGGACAGCACCGTGGCCTGTCTGTTGGCCACTTCCTCACCCGTGACCACATCTTTCAGTCATTCAGCAGCCACATGTGCTGATTCATTTTGATGTTAATTAAGTTTCTGGTTCTATCCGGCAATTTAGCCCCCCGCCCCTGCCCCCCAGCTATAACAAAGACTTCTTCTGTTATCTTTCATGGAGTCCTTCTTGGGGCTCAGTTAGGAGGGATGACTGACAAAACACAACTCCACAAAAGGTGAATTTTTAACTGATTACACCTCTGAAGTTACAAAGCTGCAGGTGTTCCCCAAATTCTCAAATCCCACTCAAATTTCAGCAGAGAACTGTGATCTGGGAAATCACTTGTAGAAAGAAGCATATAAACTCTGAACCGTTGGCACATATGTCCTCATGCGGTCCCTTAAGCTGTTACAAAGCTAAAAGTTAAAGTCAAATGCCTGATCATCAGCCAATGACCCACTGCATACCCCAAAGACTTTCCAAGGTCAACATACTGTCCTGCATCAGTGCCTTCATGCCCCCCTGCACCAGCTCCCAGGATTTACTACAGTCTGACCACCCCATGCCCACCCCACTCCCACAGCTTAGCCAATACTTTGGTCTTTTCATCACTTTACTAGAATTAGTTACATACCATCATTACTGTATAGCATATTCTGAATCTGACTATATATTTACCATTACAAGTGAGATATATACTTTCATATGTTTTCATGTTACCAATTAAAATCCTTTAGTTCAGCTTGGAGAACTCCTTTCTGCATTTCTTGGAAGCCTGTTCTAGTGGCAATGAACTCCCTCCACTTTTGTTTATCTGGGAATACCTTTATAGCTCTTTCATTTCTGAACCTCTGCTGATTCTTAGCTATCAGCTGTTTTTGTTTTTGTTTTTCTCTCTCAGCACTTTGAATATATCATCTACTCTCTCCTGAATGGTGATGTTTCTGCTGAAATTTGTCCATAGCTTTGTGGGAGTCCCCTTGTCTGAGATCAGTCATTCTCTTGCTCCTTTCATATCTCTTTGTCTTTCATTTTTGACAATTTCATTATGATGTGATAAATGAAGTCCTTTTAAAGTTAAATCTGGACCAGGACCTCTGAGTTTCATGTACCTGGATGTACATCTCTTCATATATCTTGAATTGTATAGAATTTTCATGTCATTAAATATCATTCTTCTTTGACTTTTTCAACCATTTAAAAATATAACAACCATTCTTAGGTCACAGGTTGTATAACAGGTGGACACTTAGATTTGGCCATAGTTTGCCAACCCCTGGTCAAAAGCATAATACTGAAATGTATCTTGCTAGAAGTATTGGTGGTAAGGGTAAAAGTTTGAAAGTTTTACTAAATCAAGAGGATTTAGATATGTGGAATGCCAGCAGATCCATTAAAACCAGGATATTTTGGAGAACATGGCACCAAAAGACCTAAGTCCTCTCTTGGCACCTCAGGCAGACATAGGATTCAGAGTGGGGTGGGCCATAACCATGACTGTGGCCATATTGATGCATTAGAAGATCTGCACTTTGCCAGAAATGTTCTCACGAGAGACAATAAACGTGGATCTTCAGATGATGATACCAGAGGAGGGAGTGGGCCCCTAATACCCTGTTCTCACCAAGCTACAGGTGAAAATTGGCCCACATACTCTGGAGGAGCAGGTTTCTTCCCAAGATGAACTGGGCTTCAGGACCCCAGATGGGTCACTTGCATCATCTCAAACATTCATCTACGAAGAGAGATGAAAGTCACTCAAAATATTCTGAAGGGAAGAAGGGAAAAGGATGTAGCAGTAATTTGACTTGGAATCTGACAAAGATATGACCTTGAGGTTCCTCCCAGGGGCACAGTCCGACATATGCTCAGCTCCTCACAGTTCACAAACCACTTCCTCCTCTGTCCAGGTGGTTTCCCCCAGAAGCAGACCCTGACACTACATTGGAGAGCAGTTGGCTTATTCAGGAACTGGTTCCCTAGAAGCACCATTAGGAGAGAAAAGTGGGAAAGGAAGGGGGAAACCAATGAAACCTGCATTGTGGGACAACTGAGGTTCAATGAACTGGGGATCTTCAGAAGACAATGTTATCTTTCCTGGGAGTCAGGGTACTGCCATCTATCACTGGTTGAGAGCTCACCCTGGAGCTTTAATTCCCCAGGGCTTCTGGCCTCTCTCACCCAATGCCTGAGAGAGAGTCCTCAAACAGGAAACCACAGGTGCGAGTAGAAGAATATCCTTGCCATGTGGTTAAATGGGTGGGTGCGGAGGAGGTACTCTCAGGAACCAATCCTATCCGCTTCACCATCCATTATATCCTTCACTCCATCATAACTACTCACAATTTATGAATGAAAAAACTGACGCTCAGTGGGGCTAATAGCTCAGGTCATGGAATTAATGAGAGCAGACAGTTGTGTCTGTTTGTTCACTCTTTATTCCCAGGCTCTAGATAAGTGCCTCGCAGTGTAAGCCCTAGGTATTTGCAGAATGAAGAAATATCACCATATGAGAATGATTTGGTCAAGTCACAACTTAAGCTGGGATCTTCTCCTCAAGACCCTATTTTCTCCACTGGCCTGGCAAGAATGTACCATATCAGCAGCCAGCACAATGAATAGCTTCAAGTGGGTTCAGAAAACAATTGTGGAATAAGTGGAGAAACAATTGAACAAATGTTCCATCTTTCTCTCCTTTCTGTAGGAGTCAAAGAAAAATACCAGAACCAAAGGAGAGAGAGTTCCTGCCCCACACAGTCATGGAGAAATGAGTATTTGCACCAAAAATTCACACAACTGCTACTTCGACACAGATCTCAACCCAGAGGCTATGACTTCCTGCTCAGGAGAAGAAATCATGAGGTGGTAGATGAACAAGGACAGTTGATGGAGATTGGAGACTTATTTGGCCCAGGCCTGAGTACCCAGGAGGAGCCTCCCACTGTCGTGGTGCATGGCGTTGCTGGAATCGGGAAGTCAACCCTGGCCAGGCAGGTGAGGAGAGCCTGGGAGGAAGGCTGGCTGTTCAAGGACCTCTTCAAGCATGTCTTCTACTTCAACTGCAGAGAGCTGGCCCAGTCCGAGACCATGAGTCTCGCTGAGCTCATCACAAAAGACTGGGCTGCTCCTGATGCTCCCATTGGGCAGATCCTGTCTCAGCCAGAGCAGCTGCTCTTCATTCTTGATAACTTAGATGAACCAAAATGGGACTTGAAGGAGCAGAGTTCTGAGCTCTGTCCACACTGGAGCCAGCAGCAGCAGGTGCACACACTGCTGGGCAGTTTGCTGAAGAAAACCTTACTTCCCACGGCTTCCCTGCTGATCACAGCTCGGATCACAGCTCTGTGGAGGCTCAAAACTTCTTTAAAGCATCCTCGCTGGGTAGAGGTCCTAGGATTCTCTGACTCAGCCAGGAAGGAGTATTTCTACAAATATTTCACAGATAGGAGGCAAGCAATAAGAGCCTTTACCTCGGTTGAATCCAACCCGGCTCTCTTCACCATGTGTCTCATGCCCTTGGTGTCCTGGCTGGTCTGCACTTGCCTGAAGCAGCAGATGGAGCAGGAGCAACCACTCTCACTGACCTCCCAGACGACCACAGCCCTCTGTCTGCACTACTTTTTCCATGTTCTCCAGGCTCAGTCCCTCGCGACTAAGCTGAGGGGCTTCTGCTCTCTGGCTGCTGAAGGCACCTGCCAAGGAAAGACTCTGTTCAGCCCCGAGGACTTCAGGAAACACGGGTTAGATGGGGCCAACATCTCCACTCTCTTAAACATGGGTGTTCTTCAAGAGCACCCCACCCCTCGGAGCTACAGCTTCATTCACCTGTGCTTCCAGGAGTTCTTTGCAGCAATCTCCTATGCTTTAGGCGATAGAGTGTTGAAAAGTGGTCGCTTTAATAACATCAAAATTATAACAGACTTGACAGGTGTATATGACAGGCATGACCTATTTGGGGAACCAACCACGTGTTTCCTGTTTGGCCTTTTGAGTGATCAGGGGATGAGAGAGATGGAGAGCATCTTCAAATGCAGCCTGTCTCGGGAGAGACTTTTCTCTCTGCTGCGCTTGGCCCGGAGGGAGGTCCTTTTGAAGCAAGTGAACCTAGACACATATTTTTGGCATTTGCTGCACTGTTTTTATGAGATTCAGGATGAAAACTTTATGAAAAATATTTACACTTTCAATAAAATGAGGATATGTGTCCAAACTGACATGGAGCTTCTTCTGTTCACATTCTTCTTTACATTCTGCCACCACATTGAAAGGCTTCAACTGATTGAGGGTGGACAGCACAGACAAGCAAGAAGGACTTCCGGTGCATTTCTGTAAGTGCTCCCCCTCTCTCCTCTCTCCAGCTCCTCTGTTGGTATCACTGTCCTGGGCCACTGGGGGCACTCTCACTAAGCCTGGCCCCAGGGGCTAAAGGACTGATGTAACCAGTGACTTCTAACAGCCAAATCTGACCCCCACTCTCTGTTCACCTAGGATCCTCTGAAGCAGTTTCTGACCATGTGACCTTCCCTCTCTGCTTCTGGGCGGCCTGCTGTGGCCCCTGCCTTGCACTGCTGCTTCTCTTCCTGTCTCTGTCACAATGGCTACCTTCTCTCCTGGGTGCACTTCCACCCCCATGCTGACGTCAGCTGCCCTCCACCCAGCCCACCTGCCTCTGATTCTCCCTCACACATGCTTCCTTCATGCAACAGTTCACTCATCTGCATCAGGCACCCCCTTGATGGCTGTTGACTATGACATTGGTCCTAAGTTCTCCCCTGTCACCTCAGAATGTGTCTATCTGAAAAGGAGTCTTTCTTTTTCTCTACAAAACCAGCTTCCCTGTTCGTTTCAGTGATGCACTATTGCCCCAAGGACTCCGCTGAAACCCACCATCTTAGTATGACAGAGTAGATTTCTCAAATTACCCTCCAGCACCAGCAACCCTGTTGACTTCCACATCCGGGTTCCCCACCTCAGTGGTAGCTTCGATCCTTTAGTTCTTTGAGGTGCCTATCTCCCCTTTAAATGATTCACTCCATAAATGTGTATTAAGCACTGATTTTACACTAGCTCCTAAAGATCACAGATTAGTAAAGCACAGCCCTGTCCACTACAAACTCAAATCTGGAAGAGAAGACAGATATCCATCCAATAACTAGAACAGTGTGCAAAGTCCATGGTAAGAGAGGCGTGTACCACTCCTGTCGGGCAAGAAGAGTGGATAAGGGGTATTTAGTAAGATGCAGTGTAGAGGTGAGGTAACTAATGACTGTGAGACTGATCCGTCAACCCCCATAATAGAGACTGAGGAGGGGACAAGGTCCCAGCAAATTTGGAGAGGGTAGAATAAGTGGGCCTGGTGTCACTTAAAAAAGGAAATCAGCTTACCTGCCACCACAATCATTACCCAAAGCACTCTCCTGGTGATGTAAGTCTGTGGGGCCCTCTTGGGACCTGGGCAGCTTCAGTCTTCAGTGGCCGGTCCCAGGAGGTCTGGGAGCTCCAAATGAGATCCAGAGGGTGGCCTTGCTGAGGTCTGACCTGGAGGGGCCAGACTACAGTCTGATTTCCAGTGGCCTTCCCTCCCACACCTTGGGCAGGACCCAGGCGGGGTCTCAGGTTTGGGCAGGACTTGGTCCTGTGTACTTTCTTGTTGCATTTGAAGCATGGACCCAGAGGAGGCTTAGCCCCTGAATTACCCTTGGTTGGAGGACCAGTACTTTATTTGGGGTTTATGAGAGTGGTGGTTAGGGGCTGAAAGGCCTTTGTCTGGGCCTCAGCCTTGGCCTGATCTCATCTTCGTTTTTGGATTTGGGTCTCCTTGTCTCTACTATTAAAAACCTTAAAGGTCATGTTTAAAAGGTCTCTTTTGGGGTTTAGTTCCTTCTGGACCTATAGGGTCAAGGTTGGTGTATTTTCTCATGGCCTGTGTAAGGTGAGAGAGGAAGACTGCAGGATTTTCATATCTTTCCTGGGTGACCTCTGCTTATTTTTAATAATTAACTGCTTTGTGGGTTGGCTTTCTCAGTCCTTCTAGCAGGCAGAGAACCATGTGGTCTCGAGACCTGTGATCTGTCTACCCTTCTTGATAGTTCCATTTTGGATCCTGTTAGGTACAACATCTGCTCGGACTGGGAGGGCAGGGGCCTGCCAGCGGAATATTCACGTGGCCCTGGGCATGAGGCCAGATTTGACACCAGCAATCTCCCGAAGGGGGCACTTTAAGGCTAATGCCAGAGTGGGGGGAGGAAGAGAGCCAAAAACTTGCTCCGGAGCAGGTATGAGATAGGATGGTGGCAGTGGGATCCGCTGGGTAGGGTGGTGGACTCTCAGGCTGTTGAGACAGGAGCCATAGGCTGGGGGACTGGGGGATGGTCAATGGGATCAAAAGTGGTGAAGGAGAAGGAGGATTTGAGATGGGGGGCTGGGGGGCTTAGCATGAGGAAGGAAAATCTGTGAGGGAGAGCAGCTGTTACAGAGATAAGGATGTGTCCTTGAGTGTAAAAAAGCCTGAATATACGGGACCTCAGGCTATCTGCCCTGCTGGCAGCAGAAGTTACCAAGATCAGTGAGAATTTGGAAATCTAAAGTACCATTCGCAGGCCATTAGGACCCATTGTCTAATTTTTTGTTGTGGCCAAGTGGTATTGCAATAGAAAATGAGGCACTTGGGACATAAGTCCTGAGCGAACCCTAGGGCCTGTAGATTCTTAAGAAGACATCCCAGGGGTGTGGTGCGGGGAATGGCCAACTGTGTGTTCCCCATAAGTGGGCCTTGAGTCTAATCTCCCGTGGACACTAAGTTAGAGAAAGGTGTCCCCTTCCTCCTGAGTGTCAGAAACATACAGGCGATCACACCTCATCAGTAGGCATCCCCACAGACAGGTGGACCAGGGAACCTGGTTCCGGGGAGTGTGTCCTGACCAGCACTGGATGTCCGCTAGGGAGTGGCTGTGCAGTCATAGCCCAGAGCCTGCCCCCGATTATCCCGGACAGAAAATGCAGGACAGCCCAAAAAGAAAGGGATAATAGACTCAAGCCACTTACCAGTTAATTCAGTGTCTGCAGACATGAAGGGAAAGATGAATGGAGTTGGGGACATATTGGGTCAAGGTGCTACTGGACTATCGAGGTGGATTTATCTGGCAATAAAATAGAGATGGCAGTTTGCATCTTGAGAATTTTATCTAATTTATTTGGGAGTAGATAAAATCACTTAAATAGTGTGTGACATGTAGAATTTAAATTGGTGGAAATTATACAAGGCAGTCTAGCCTATAACTTTCAAACAAAGCCCATCCTCCTCTCCCACATTCTGCAAATGTTCTCTCCTAAATCATTCCCTTTTGTCATCTCTCTCCTGGGGAACCTCTCTATGGTATTGCTATCCTGGGAAGGGGATATGGTCCCATGCAAGCCAATCTGGACAACAGTATATATAGTCATAATCAACAATCCCATCACAAAACTACCTTTAAACCACCTCTCCCAGGTTCTGTTCCCACCTCCCATCTCTTCCTTTCCTTTCTGGAAACTGGGACTTTACAAAATTTGTGCCAAAGGAAGAAAGGCATGTCTGTATTGATGAGAGGAAGACTGTCTGCATCCCCAAGGTCTTTGTCAGGCCCTATGATGGACACTAAAGATAAAAAAAAAAAATGAACATCTGCCCCAGCACACAAGAAATTCCCAGACTGATGCAGAAACAGACACACTAAATGAGCACTGCAGTACAGAATAGCAAGGGCTGCATGATGAGAAACCACACGGAAGGGGGCAGTTTGCCCAGGGTGGTGGGAACAGAGGGGCAGTTCCAGAGACTGATCACCCCTGGAAATAGCCCTGCCCATTGCAGCCTGGCACTCAGAGGGGCCAAACCCCATGGTATTGAGCACAGTGTGCACATAAGTCCACACACACACACACACACACACACACACACACACACACACACATCACGTCTCTCCTGTCCCTCTCTTTCCCTCAGGTACAGCTGGGGCTTGTTTACAGATTCCTGGTGGAAGATGTTCTTCTCTATTCTCAAAGTCTCTGGAAGCCTGCGGGAGCTGGACCTGAGTGGGAACTCTCTGAGCTGCTCTGCAGTACAGAGTCTTTGTGACGCCCTGAAAAGCCCTCACTGCCACCTGGCAACCTTGAGGTGAGTCTGGCCTGGGTTCTGATCTGAAACAGGGGTGGACAGGAAATCCAAGGTAGAAGTTGTGTCTAGGATGGGTGTGTGGTCTTTGTTTTTGTTTAGGTTTTTAACATTATTTTTTATTTTTCAATTACAGTTGACATACAATATTATATTATTCCCAGGTGTACATCCCAGTGATTAGACATTATAAAACTTACTAAGTGATCATCCTGAAAAATCCTTGTATCCAACAAATATTCATTGAGCCCCTCTCTGACCATGGCTACTGCAGTAAGCAAACACAGACAGGATTCTATTTCCACAGAACTTGCAAGTGATTGACATTAACCACCCAAACAAATATGTAATTACAGGCCCAGACAAGGGCCTCCAGTGGAAAACGACCTTAATAAAGTGAATATTGGAGGACATGGGAAGACTACAGAGGGTTTACCTAAGTGAAGCAGGAGGGCAGAAAGGTCAAAGGCCCTGTGGCAGGAGGGGGGATGGGCTGTCATGGGATTGAAAGCAGACAAGTGAGGCTGGAGGATGGAGAGCAAAGGAGCCACGGGAGGAGGCTACAGAGATCAGGAAGTAAGACTGTCTATGCAAGGCCCTGTTGGAATCTGGGGTGGTTGTTTTTTCTAATGCAATGTGATTATAATTAAAAGGTTGATAAAATCAGTACATTTACAAAGTAGAAACAGACTACCATATAAAACTGGGAGCAGAGGATAGCAATGGTAGAGATTGGGAAACCAGTTCATAGGAAAGTTTCAGTTTTCCAATAAAGATGTTGAGAGGTTGCAGTGAGAAAACTTACCAGAGTTTCTGCAAGAAATAGGTGCATCTTGGACTATGGTGTCAGCCATCGAAATGGGAAAAAGTGAATGGATTTAAGAGATCTAAAAAGAAAGTAAAATCCAATAGATTTGAATTATGGAGAAAGGGAGATGGAGATATAGAAGATAATCTTAGTTTCAGGCCAGAGATATGCATGGGATAGTGGCACCTTCACTGAGATGGAAATACTGGAAGAGGAGTGAATGGGGGGTGGAATGTCAAGGGTGTGATTTTGTGCAAAATCTTCAAGTTTTTTTGAGATAGCCAATGGGAAATGTCAAGCAGGTATCAAATTAACTTCTGTGCAAAAATAAGATGCGCCATAAAACAAATCTCAACAAATTTAAGAGAATTGAAACCATGAAAATTATATTATCTGAACATAATGAAATGAAATTGGAACTCAATAACAAAGGGAAATTTAGGAAATTTACAGTAACACACTCCTAAATAAACAATGGGTCAAAGAACAAATCACAAGGGAAATTTAAAATGCTTTGAGATCAATGAAAACAAAAACAAAACATATTTGATGCAACTAAATCAGTGCTTACAGGGAAATGTATATTATCAATGCCCAGATTTTAGAAATAAGGGCTACAACTACTTACCCATTAGAACTGCGAAATCTAGAACACTGACACCACCAAATGCTGACAAGGTTGTGGAGCAAAAGAAACCCTCAGACATTGCTAGCGGGAATAAAATATGGGCATTTTGCAGAATCCTAGTGAACTAAACACACCCTTACCAGATGATCCAGCAATCGTGCTCCTTGGTATTTACTCAAATGAGTTGAAAACCTATGTCCACACAAAAATCTGCACAACAGTGTTTATGTCAGTTTTATTTGTAATTGCCCGAACTGGAAAGCAACCAAGTTGTCCTTCAGTAGGTGAGCAGATAAATAAACCATGGTATATCTGTATAATGAAATATTATTTAGTATGTGAAAAAATGAGCTCTAAAGCTATAAAAAGAATGGGCGAGCCCTAATCGGTTTGGCTCAGTTGATAGAGCATCGGCCTGCGGACTCAAGGGTCCCAGGTTCGATTCCGGTCAAGGGCATGTACCTTGGTTGCAGGCACATACCCAGTGGGGAGTGTGCAGGAGGCAGCTGATCAATGTTTCTCTCTCATAGATGTTTCTGACTCTATCCCTCTCCCTTCCTCTCTGTAAAAAAATCAATAAAATATATATTTTTAAAAAAAGAATGGGCGAGATTTAACTGCATATTACTTGTTGAAAAAAGGACATTCTGAAAAGCTATCTATGCTAATAAAGGGTAATATGCTAATTAGACTGGACATCTTCTGGATGTCCTTTCAGACAAAGTCATGGTGGTGGAGACCGAGGCAGAGGCGGTTAGGGGCAATCAGGCCAGCAGGAGAGGGCAGTTAGGGGCAATCAGGCCTCAGGGGAGGGCAGTTAGGGGCAATCGGGCCAGCAGGGGAGGGCAGTTAGGGGCAATTGGGCCAGCAGGGGGGAGCAGTTAGGGGCGATCAGGCCGGCATTGGGGAGCAGTTAGGGGGCAATCAGGCAGGTAGGCAGGTAAGTGGTTAGAAGCCAGTGGTCCTGGATTGTGAGAAGGATGTCCCCCAAGGGGTCCCGGATTGGAGAGGGTGCAGGCCTTGTTGAGGGACCCCCCCCCCCCAATGCACGAATTTTGTGTACCAGGCCTCTAGTATACTATATGATCCCAACAATATGAAATTCTTAAAAAGACAAAAATATGAAGACAGTAAAAAGATCTGTGATTGCCAGGGGTTTGGGGGAGGTAAGGATACATATACAGAGCAGACACTATAATGGCAGCTAAATGTCATTTTATATTTCAAAAAACCATAGAATGTAAAGCACCAAAAGTGAGCCATAATGTAACCTATGGACTTTGGGTGATTATAATGTGTCAATGTAGGCTCAGTGATTCCAACAAATTTACTACTCTCTTGCCAGATGTTGATAATGGGGGTGGCTGTGTATGTTGGGGCAAAGGTATATAAGAACTCTCCAAAAAGTTTCAGAGACATAGAAACACTGAACAGATTGCAGAACCTCAGAGGGAAGGTGGGAGAGGGTGCCAATTTTGCTGAAAAACTAAAACTATTCTATAAAAGAGAAATAGTCTAGAGCCGTGGTTGGCAAACTGCGGCTCGCGAGCCACATGCGGCTCTTTGGCCCCTAGAGTGTGGCTCTTCCTAAGCCTGAGGAGTACCCTAATTAAGTTAATAACAATGTACCTACCTATATAGTTTAAGTTTAAAAAATTTGGCACTCAAAAGAAATTTCAATCATTGTACTCTTCATATTTGGCTTCTTGACTAATGAGTTTGCCAACCACTGGTCTAGAGGATTAAAAATGGTGGCAGAGTAAATGGATGCTGCATGGACATGCTCCCAGGCTAGCAATATATTATAAAGATCATACACCATGATCAAGTGGGATTATTCCAGAAATGCAAGGCTGGTACAATATTCACAAATCAATAAACATGAAACCTCACATAAACAGATTGAAAGACAAAAATCACATGATCATATCAATAGACGCAGAAAAAGCATTTGACAAAATACAGCACCCATTTTTGATAAAAACTCTCAGCAAAGTGGGAATAGAGGGAGCATATCTCAACATGATAAAGGCCATATATTGACAAACCCACAGCCAACATCATACTCAATGGGCAAAAACTAAAACCATTTTCTCTAAGAACAGAAACAAGACAGGGATGCCCACTATGACCACTCCTGTTCGACCTAGTACTGGAAGTACTAGCCATAGCAATCAGACAAGATGAAGTAATAAAAGGCATCCAAATTGGAAAAGAGGTAAAACTGTCATTATTCGCAGATGACATGATATTGTACATAGAAAACCCAAGGACTCCATCAAAAGCTACTAGACTTGCCCTAGCTGGTTTAGCTCTGTGGATAGAGCATTGCCCTGCAGACTGAAGAGTCGTGGGTTTGATTCTGGTCAAAGGCACATGCCTGGGTTGTGGACTTGTCCCCTAGTAGGGGGCATTCAGGAGGCAGCTGATCACTGATCCTCTCTCATCATTGATGTTTTTCTCTCCCTTTCCCTTCCTCTCTGAAATCAATAAAGATATATTTTTTAAAAGAACTACCAGACTTAGTAAATGAATTCAGCAATGTAGCAGGATACCAGATTAACACCCAGAAATCTATGGCTTTTTAATACACCAATAATGAACTCACAGAAAGAGAGAAACTAAAAAAACAACCCCATTTATCACTGCACCAAAAAAATTAAGATACCTAGGAATAAACTTAACTAAGGAGATAAAAGGCCTGTACTTGGAAAACTATAGGGCATTGAAAAAAGAGATAGAGGAAGACATAAACAAATGGAAGAATATACCGTGTTCATGGATTGGAAGAATCAATGTCATTAAAATGTCCATACTACCCAAAGCAATCTATAGACTCAGTGCAAACCCACAACGAACATTATACCTAATGCTGAAAATACTGCATGTTTTCCTCTAACATCAGGTACAAGACAAACCTCTTCACTCTTTCCAAGTCTATTTAACTTTACACTAGAGGTTCTCATCAGAGAAATTAGACAAGAAAATGAAATAAAAGTCTTCCAGATTATAAAGGAAAAAGTAAAACTATCTCTATTTGCAGCTTTCATGATTTTATGTAAAAATCCTAAGGAATGTACACACAAAAATAGCTATTAGAACTAATAAACTAGCAAGTTTTCAGGATAAAAGTCAATATATAAACATCAATTGTATTTCTACATATTAGCAATAAACAATCTAAAATGTAATTAAGAAAACAACTCCATTTACAATAGCATCAAAAATAATGAAATATTTAGGAATAATTTTAACAGAAGAAGAGCAAGGCTTGTATACTGAAAGCTACAAAACATAGTTGAAGAATTTAAATAAAACTTAAATAAATGTTAAGACTTTCCGTGTTCATGGACTGGCAGACCTAATACTGTTAAGACAGCAATGTTTTCCAAACTGGTTTATAGATTCAACTCAATCCCTATCAAAATCATTGCTGCCTTTTTTTGCATAAATGATCAAGCTGATCCTAAAATTTATATGCAACGAAATGTTTGCATGTCAAGTCTTGGGAAACCCACCCTTCCCAATTTTAATGGCCAAGAGAAGTCAACAAAGATGCCTGAGGAA